AATTATATATGCAAACATAATAATATGTATATATACATTCTATTTGGGTGTCACTTTTACGCGACCCAAACTTATGAACATCAAACTCAGGTCCACCAACCACTTTTGAGGTTCCCCAAATTCAACATCATAGCCATGTCTCGAAATAGAGACGGATCGAGACCCTTTTTCTTGTGACGGTTATGAAACGCCGAAAAGAACACCTTGCCTTTGAGGGGTCTCTGGGCCCATGGAAATCCTGTCCCTGCCATGCTTGCCTGCAGCCATGCGCAGCATCTGGCTGCTCCTGTCAGGGTCCCATCTCTGCGATGCGAAGCGACGTAAGGCTTGCCTGCTTGCCAAGACCCATGGTTCTACCGATGTACTCATGTTCAAATGGCTGTGGCTCAAATAACCGGTACCAAAATGGAACCTTGGTAAGTGGAAAAATGGACCAAAACCCGCGTAACCCCCCCGGTTGAGTTTTGAGCCACAGCCAAATGTCTATGGGTGTGAAATTTAATCAGCCCTTTGCAAAACATGACTTACATGATGTGCTTCTCCAGCCTTTGGGTTCCCTATTCTACATCATAATCATGTAGGCATACCCCCCTCCCTATTTTACATCATACTCATGTAGGCCTATGGTACTACCCCCCTGAAACCAGATAGAAGTTAACCTACCAAATTGTAAATGCTTTCCTACCGGTCTTTCTTCTTTGAGGGAGGGTTGCGCCCGTGCTTTTTTCTAGGTATCTCGCCGCGAGGCGATCATCATGATTGCCCGAGCATGCTGTGAAAGCCCAAGAGGCCGAAAGATGGTTCTGTCAAAAGGGATGCGAATTCCTTCCCCTCTCCCCCCCCAAAAAAAAAATACAAAAAAAAAACAAACAAAAAACACAAATGGGGGGGGGGGGGGCTCCTTTGAAGCGTTTCCCCTTTAAAACACAGCCACACCTCGGGTGTCAAAACCAGCCCCGCGCCGGATCGATCGGGTCCTTCGATCTCTCGGGCCCAGAGGCCGGGGTGGGCCCACAAAGCCAGGCCTGCACGGAGCGCCACGGGGGGGAGGCCTAGGCGTTTGGTGGCTCCCCTGCTAAAAGGTTTTTTTCGGTTTTTGGCTTTTTGTTTTTGAAATAATAACTTTTGGTGGGTTTTTAGTTTTTTGTTTTTAACTTTTGGTGGGTTCAATACGGAAAACCCATTCGTTGGCAAAAGGCTATTCAGTCCTAACATCCCTTGGCAACATGCACCAAAGGAGCATTGAAGATTCGCAAATCAGCTGGGAACTACTGTGGATGGTGGCGAAATCATCTTAGGCACCGAACTCAGAAACCCAAGGGAATGGATGTTGCCAACAAACTTTGTGGTTTCAATCATGAGTTTCATTTCGTGGCAACTCCCCGGACCCTCAACTTGCTGGTGCGATAACCAGGGAATGAGGGAATGAACCCAGGGATTCCTGCACCATGGAGTGATTCGATTCCAAAACGTTTAAAACAAAAAAAACAAAAAGGAAAAAAAGAAACGTTAGGGTTTCACCCATGGTTTCTTAGGTGCTGCCAAATGGTTTTCGTCAGATCTCGGTGGCAACCACCTGGACCCTCAAACTACAAATGGGCTATCACTCCATACATTTGGAAGTTTAAAGGGTAGTTTGAGGGTCCAGGTACTCTCTTTGCAACAAAGGTGGGTATGTGACAGGGGGCTTCAAAGGAAGCCGTAAACACTCATGTGAGATTCCATTGGGAGGGGAAGACAGATGGAGAAACAGTCCCAATTTTCTACATGAACATTCTGTGACATTCAGAAACTCGCCCTTTGGTCTTCGAGCCTCTGAAAAAGACAAAAAACTCCGAGTCGGTTGTCTCTTTGGGCCTATGGCAAGGGACCCCAAAATACAAAAAATGCCACGTCTCATGTTAGAGTAGCTCCGAGTGTTTCACACACACACCAAAAGTCAACTGGAGAGTAGCTCCGCTCTCTCAATAGGCTCCTTACTGACAGAAGGGGAATTGGGGTTGATCACTTGGGGGTTGATCAAAAGGTTCTTTACATAGAATGACCAGTTGTTGGAAACTAACAAACAAACAATATCTATTTCAACCGCGAAATGAGAAAGTTACCCGGGCCAGGAATAGGAATCAACCCCCACTTCCATTGTCAAAGAGAGCCCACAAATAGGTTGTTCCTTGGTTTCCTTTTAAACAAGCCGTAAAAAGCGAAGACTCAACAAAAAAACACACACCCACGTGTTGTTGCCGAAGGGAAATTGTAACGCGTGTCCGGGGGATTGGTCAACCCGAGATCTGAGTGCTCACGTGCTGTCTTAGCGGCAAGTCTGCCACTAAACGGGCCCCGATTTGAAGAAGCCTGAAAAACCCGCTCGGTCGAGTGAGCATGCCAACAAAATTGGAAGCACTGATGTCAATATAACCACCATGGTCTACCTGGCGATTATCATCACCAAAATTGGGTCCCCTTGGGCCATTATTTTCATGGGGGCCTTGGGAACCCTAGGGATTTGCACCAGCTCCCCGTTGAGACCCGAACCGCCTCAACAGCGCCGCAGCCAGCACCAAAAGCCACCGCGCCCGCATCGGGAAATGTCTACCCCCGGCGCATCAGTGGGGGGGGGGGGTTCTCGTGCAAGTTCAAAAAACCGCAATCCCAAAATGGTGAATTCCTTTTCTGGCGCAAAGGCAAGTGATGTGTCACACTGGTTTGTAGTTTGTATGTGTTGGGGAGCCCTGCAAAAAGTTCCCGAGAGTTGGAGTGGACCCTGCGGGGCAAACCTAGTATACGCTGGTTGCATGGAATTTGAAGGGACTCTGCCCGTGTTTGCCTGTTATACCTGGGTAAGGACGAAATATGGCAATCAATCTTCATAGAGAAGCCCTCAAAAATGGGTCATGGGCCTGAATCTCCATGTGGAAGTGTCTGTTTTTTTTTTTAAGGTGAACCACCAGGAAAACCACCTTTATTTTTCTGCGG